TTGAGGCAAGAAATACTAATATAATAAAGTATAAGAAATAATAACCTTTGAATTTTTTTTGGTTGGTTGAAGTAAATTTAATGACTTCCTCTTATTGTTGCTTTATCTTTCTGCAGGGATGTGAAAGCAGGAAATATTCTTCTTGGAGAAGATGGCTCAGTGCAAATTGCAGGTAACTTTTGTGGTAGCTTTGAGTAAACTGTAGGCATAACTGCATATCCAAAGAAATAGTTTAATGATCAAGGATGAACCTGCATGAAAACATAAGCTTCAAAAAGCCCCACACTACGTAAAACAAACAAAAAACTCCAACAATAAACCAGCCACAAACCAAAATGAAAAGCCCTAACCCAGAGTTTATTATGTCTTATTATCTTAAAATACTGTTACTTGGAATAATGACAATCAGCAGATATAAATCATTTGATTGTGAAGTCCTCAGAATCAATAGATCAGATAAAGATCTTGGCATAAGCTAGTCAGATTCTTACATCAGCAAGTTTATAGGCTTGGAAGTGGAGTGCACAGACCTCACCGATTTATCATTGACGTGTGAGGTGGTTTTCCACAGGTCTCTGGTCCAGGGTGGACAGATCCATCAGAAGGAAATGAGCATATCTGATGGTAAAAGTCATTTAAGGAAAGATCAGCCAGTCAAACTGCTCACGTGGATGCTCCCTGCTCTGCTTCAGTTGAGCTGGATGGCAGAGAGGATGTTTAAGTGGCTGCCCTGGCCCAGCCCAAACTAGGGTGAGCTGGAAGTCTTGAAAGCAGTCATGCAAAGAAAAACTGTTAAGACAGTTGCTTTAGCTAATACAGATGTGCCTGGAGATGCCTGCTGCAGTCACTGCTGACATGAGCTGCAGCAACAGAGCTGTGCTGGAAACAGCCCTGTGTGGGGATAGACCATGGGGAAAAGGGTATTGTGTGGAGTGCTTTTCCCCCTGATCCTCTTCTGATATTTTCCTACAGACTTCACCCTTCTTTCCATAAATCAAGATTTATACCCCATCCCTGAAAACATTCAAAGTTGAATGGGGCTCTGTTCTGGTTGAAGGTGTCCCTGGCCATGGCAGGGGGTTGGACAAGATGACCATTAAAGGTCCCTTCCAACCCAAACTATTTTGTGTTTTTGATTATTATTATTATTGCAGACTATTAAGTAAGCCAAGATTTTTGGAGAGTACATTTAGAACCTGTGATATTTGTTTTTCCTTCTCTTCCCAGCATACTGTTTTCCTATCCTGAGTACAATTTTTCTCCAATTCTTCTCACAGAAATACTGTGTTCTTCCCATGGGTCTTGTAGTGCCTTTCCAGTCTTAGTGCCACCTCTAGCTAGGGAGCAGAGCTTGTGTCCTGTCCTGCCAGCTTGGCAAACATCCCTGTACATGTGTAACATTTTCAATCCCATATTTAATTGGGAAGAGCCATATCTGTGTGTGACAAGGTCTCTTGTTGAGTGCCCTGTCCTGCTGGTAGAATCACAGCAGTGGGTCAGGACAGTGTGCTGGGAGTTTAGGGACAAGGGACTGTTGTGTGAGGGAGAAATGCCTGTAGCATGGTTTATTCCTTATTATTTGTATCTATGCCTGGTTTTGTATCTTGGAATGAAAGGTGTCGATTTCCCACCAGGAAGTAAATTAAAACATCTTGCAGTGCAGTTTTTTATAGGTAGCTCTCCTCTCTGCAGAGGACAATAAGCCCTTTTACAGGACATAACACCTCTTTCTGTTTAAAACCTGAAGTATCTTTGTTTTCTTTTTTAAGTCTTCTGGTGCCCTTAATGCCTGCTGTTATATTTCTAATGAGGTGTAGATAATTCAGTTATGTGGCAGCTGATGGAAGATAGGGAGTGGCTTCTAAAACACTCAAAGGAACAAACTTTATACAGTGAAATCCTACAGTTTTGTTCCATAATGAGACCAAGATATAACACGTTGGATTTGTAATTGCATGGAGCTTTTGATGCTGTTTTGGGAGAGGCTGCAAAATGCTGTAACTCTGGGTGTTTCTGCCAGCCTAGAGAGAGCTTCTTGTGTTTCTCTTCCACAAAGCTGCCAGGGCTTGGCTTTTTTGTCTTAATGTACACTGGCATTAATAGGAACCTGTTTATGTATTTTTTCTGCTGAGCAATTTTTAGTTGATAAATAGATTTAAGGTTGACTGGTCTTAACTCTGTGCATTTCAGAGGATTAATTTTGTCAGTAATTATACATGTTCCCTAGACTGAGCTACTCGTGGTTTATATGTGCAACACTTAAATGATGAAATTCATCTCCTGCGAAAGCAGCACTGAGAGATGTGCAAAGTTGCCTCTTTACAAATTCTTTCTTTGAACATGCAAAAGGACCAACCCTGCCACCTTTCATCAGCCACAGCAGGGCCACTAAACCAAGGTCAGAGGGTTCACTGCAGTGGCAGGAAGCTCTTTCGTTTTTGTGGAGGCAGCTGATGACTTGAAAGAAATGAAAATAAATGAATGAATAATAGAGAAGAGCCTGACCTGGCCATAACATGAGATTTTTGTTTCTGTGGGAATTTCTGACACTTAAACTTCCTTGCTTCCTGACCCAGGATGAAATAGCAGAATTTCTGAGGAATTTTTTGAGGAGGAAAAAATGCCGGAAGCAAACCAATCCAAATAAAATGAGATTTGTTTCAACGAGATCAAAGCACTTGCCTTTGACAATAATATTAATGCATATTATGAATAATTCTGTTGATTGTTGAGTGCTTCAGTTATGAGCTGGATGACATCACTTCATTCCCATGAAACAAATGCTCCTAAATTTCTCTGGGAAGTTACACCATGAGATAAAAAACAAAAGATTGATCAGCTGTGGAATGTAGCCTGAGGGTTGGAGTGAATGGGGCACCTCCCTGCAAGGAGCCGGTTTGGTATACATGAAAAATTTAATTCATGTAGCAGGGAAGAAAGACTTTCATTCTTTTATAATGACTCCTTCCTTTCTGCCACTCCTCTATCCAAATTGCCTACGAACAGTTGTTAAGAAGATCTTATTCAATCTTTGGCTTTTGTGACCTTGTGTTCCTGTGCTTTCCTAGTGCTTGACATAATTCCTGTTCCTTGTCTCAGATGAAGTGTAATTCTCAAATGTAAATGAGGAATGTACATCTCAATATGGAAATCCTTTGAGGGGAAAAAAGCAAAGGTGCATTTGAGATTTGAGTGGTGGAAACCTCACTGCAGGACTGTACCTCCACAATATGTCAGTGATTTAATTGCTTGAAACTTTCACTGTATGGAATTCATGGCAGTAATTTTGCTGCAGTATTACACAGTTCTAACCAGTGAAAATTAAAGCCTCTTTTGTGAATTTTGGGCTGTGCAATTCTGCTAAGGCTGAACAGAAAAAGCAACTTGATGAAGGTGTGTCAGACTTTTCTCAGGTTCTGTTTGTAAACCTGAATTGGTATTTGTGTATATGGAGAAAGCCACTCTGGGAGCACTGTGAGTTGAGGTGGCTGCAGGTAAAGAGAGATCTGTGAGCTTGGGGGCATCTGCTGAAAGTGGGAATTCTAAAAATTCCTCTAATGGCTTTCACAAATTCCCAGCTTGAAACTCCTCTCCAGATCTTATTTTTACTCATGGCTCTATTTTTAACTGTATCGCTCCTTTGGCTTTCAAAAAGTGCATCCACTGAACCAAGGAGAAAATTATGTCTAATAGATCCAGCTGACCAGCGAGACCTAAAGTGAGGCAGTTTGCTTCTATCTGAACATTTCTCTTTTTTCCCCAAGGACACTGGCTCAGGCCTGTGGCTTGGCACCAAGTTTTTGGAGCCTGTTATAGTTCAGAGTGTCGCTTTCTCAGTTTGAAGTGTTCTCCTTCACACTGGTTTAATCTGTCTTCTGGAGAGAGCAGGACTCTTTCCCAGATACCGTTGTTCTGGGCTGTGCTGACAGTGGTTGCAAAGTAAATGGAGATAGCCATGTTCTTTTGTGTTCCAGCCTCTCCATGGCAATTACTTCATTTCTTTTAATCAGAGCATAAAACCTCTTTGCCCTGGCATTTATCAGCTCCCTGGAGTCTAAAAGTGCACGGATAAAAACACTCTGTCAACATAAAACTCCATCGGCACCATTATTGATGCATAAACCAGGAGATGGCTTCTCACAGTAAGCAAGGCTTTGCATTTGTCAGTTTATTTAATTATGCAGGACCTATAAATTACTGCAAAATGAAGTGAACATCTTGATAGACTGGGAAGGGATGGGAGAGGTTGAGGAGAAACTCTCCCAGGGTACAGGAGACTTGCTCAGCATGAGCCACTCTCCAGCAATGGCATGATATGAGCATCCTACTCTGAGATTGAATGTGATGATACAAGTGTCTGCTGAAGGCTGAGAGGCGCACATCCCTCCATGTGTGGGTTTTTTGGTTGTGGAGACAATAGCACAATCTCTTCAGGATTTAAAACCAGAGAATTCTCAACACGCACTCCCGAGAGGTGCCCGCAGTGTCAGCCATGGCCTGGGCAGGCCGTGTTGCCAAGCAGTTGAAGTAGATTGAGATTTCACTAAGTCGTTCAGGACTTGCTAATTGATCCTGGGCAATTTGCCTAACCCCTCTCTCTTTATCTATTTATAAAACGGGGATAGTTAAGGCCAGGCAAAACTTGTGTAACTGAATTTGTGTAACTTTCCACAAATCCATGCCAGCTTGTCACCGGTTCGCTGTGTTCCTGACTGCTCTTAATTCATGGCACTAAAATAGCGCTCTACATAAACATCGAGCTATGATGCAGGCAGTGTCATTCCCCACTTTCCCTTAGGAAACTCTAACTTTGGGAGATTAAATTGCCTGAACAAGGGGCAAGGCACAAATCTAACTTGGGAGGGGAGTGTCGATTGCAGGGCTTACTTGAAGACCCTGTGTTCTATCATGAACACCTTGGAGCTCTTCTCCCTTTCAAAAAAAAAAGGCCAAAAATATTTTTCTCTTTGACTGGTGGAGACTTCTCCTGCAGCATTGAGTTGTGAAATAACTTTTTCTTTATGTCACTTGTACTATCTGTGTTTCCTGAAGAGATGTTGCACTGTTTGATTGTTGAAACCACTTGTGAACGTCTCCGAGGGCAGTGGGTGGCGTCACCCAGCCTGGGCTTTGTCATACTGAAGTTGATTTGTGAAGTAGGAGGACAAGTGTGCATTTACAGATCCAATAGCACTGTGCATCCATCTAGACTTTTAAAGGAAAGAAGCCTTTGATTCTTGTTCTCCACTAATCTTCCTTTTATCTGGTGTCCTACTGCCTGCTGTGTTCTCAGCACAAAATTGCTATTTATCACTCCCTTCCTCCTCTTACTGCCAGGTTCATTCATCTTCAGTGCTCTAAAAGCTTTAAGGTTTGCAGGAAAGCACCAAGTAAAACTGCAGATATTTTCTGACGGTGAACAACTGACAAGAAGGAAGGTGACCAGTGAAAAAAACACCTAGTGCTGTCTTCTGAAATGCTTTTTGTTTAAAGACAACTTGAAGAGATTTTGAAGTCAAGACTGAATTATTCTGTTTTTCTGCCCCTGCTGAAGTTGACAACTGCTTTAGGGTCTGATTCAAGCACACCAAACTCTGTAGGAGCCCTTCTGATATCAGCAGATTTTGGTCCTGGCTCTTAGTGAACATTCTTCCTTTCTTTCCCTTCTGTGTACCATGTCGGTAGCTACATGCAGTAGCAGTACTTGGGCTTTTTAGGATTAAAGTAATGTTATAATATGAAGGGACCAAGGAGGGATTATTTTTAACAGCTGACTTCTAGATTTGGATAAAGCAATGTAGAATATGATAGAAATGTATCTTCCTGAGGGACACACCTGTAGTGGTACCTGCTGTGATGTGGTCCTGCCACAGCTGAGTGTTTGCTGAGTTGTGTGTACTGGGCCTTCCTTTTCAGTTCTGCATTTCCTGAGTGGCCAGAGTAGTTTTTAAGTTGATGGTTTGGATACCTTAGGAATTGTTGCCTCATGGCATCCTTTTTCAAACACTGCTCTGCAACTTCAATGCCACTGTAGAGTGTCCTGTAGGCTGTGTGGTTTGCAGCACGTGTTTCTGCTGGAAGAGACAAAATTTGCCATATTTTGTGCTGAGCTTGCATTAACAGAATTGACATTCCCATCCTGGATTGGTTTTACTGTGATATGATATATCACAGGCTGGAGATATACATCTTTCTTTTTTTGTTTAGTTTTCTTTTTTTAAGCAATCTTTGGTTTAAACGACTGAAACAGCTCCAACGGCTGAATCTTTTCTACATTGCTTCAGAAAATGGGAAGAGAAAAAAAAAGATATCCCACCACTTCCATCCAGACACCCTGGAGACTGTTATTTGCAGTCAGATTGCTGGAAGTCTGCAGTTTTTGGGCTCCTTTAGGACATCTGACAGTCGGTGGATCCCCAGCAGTGGTGGTTACTGGTACTGCAAGCCAGGTCCAACCGTTTCCAATTCCTCCCTGTCTCTGGTGATTCAGTCCTTTCCAGTTATCACCATAGTGAGCCAATATAAACTACGAGCTGCCAAGGAAGAGTTCAAATGTATAAACACTTTGGAGCTATCCTGAATTTCATGGATTTTCCCATTTTTTTAGAGTTAAATTCATTTGCAATAACCTGGTTCTGTTTTAACCTTTCTGGGGGCAGAGAGACTGAGGCACAGATGGTCCCAACTGCTCAGAAGTAGGAATTGAACCCGAACTTGTAGCAGGGGCTGTGTTTTATTGCTTTGTGGATATTTCCTGAGAGCAGGCACATTCTTATCTGAATAGCTGGGCCTTGGATAAAGTTAGTAAGATGACATTTGAGAAGATGGTCCCAAAGTCATTCCTTACAGGGGAGTATCACAGGCTGTTTGAGCCTGTTTTAGTCCACTAGAAATGAGGGAAATTAATTGGGAAAATATTAAATAAATCAACCATGTAATGAAATAAACTTTAATTCCATTTAAGCTTTCTTCAGATGGCAGATGTAGGGGCCTGATTTCCATCTGGAATTTATAAACCCATGTTTGATGTGAGATGTGGTGAATACTGTGTGAAGGACTTGTGTTTTTACTTCTGGAATGCTTTTGCTTTGAATGGCATTTCCTTTCCCCTCAAAATGACTGCATGGAAACTTGAGGTAAGATAATATGTGCAAGTTCAAATACAGCACATCACAATAAAATGTTGATGGCACTTGGACAAGTTTCTGTTAGTATTATCTTATTTAAAAGGACATCTAATTGCTCTTGTGTTTAGAACAATAGATCTTGAGAGACTTCCTGTAATGAGCAGTGAAAGGGAACTTTACTCTGAATCATTTAGGGAGCTTCTGCAGTTTCTGAGAAAAGGAAAGGTGGTGGATACTCACATGGAAGATCTCAAAGCTAGGATCACTCTTGCAAAAAGTGGGTTTTTAGAGGATTCAGGTTGCAGTACTGATGGGGACATTGATCCATCTAGGTGTGCTAAAACTTCAAGCATAGCAGGAAGCCAAGATGCCTTTGGGAGCAGGAAAAGAGCAGGACAGCACATCTGGAAGAGCTGAATTCTAATGATAGGCTTTCGTTAGTGCTGGTTTTAGTTCTGTGATTTCTATGCAACTTTCTTTAATGTCACTTTGCAGTTACCCATACCTAGTACTTCTGTACTAAGTTCCTGTCCTGGAAGTCTCTAACTGAAGTGAGCTGGAAGCTTTCAGCATATTCTGAGTGATCACTTCAGAGGAGTTTGTCAAATACTGCAATTCTAATGAGAAGTGATTTGTTGCACTGCTGGTGTTATGCAGAGGGAACTTGGGACAGTCCTCATATAGATACCATGACTTATAAATTGTAAGGAGGGATCTTATGTTGCAGTGGATTCTTCAATTTAGCCATGGAGTAACTCTGGTTCCTCTGGCCATAGAGGCAAAGGCTTCTACATTTTGTATTGTAAACAGAGTTTCAAGAATTTTCAAACCAGTTGTGATCAATAATGGTCTGGTGTTATGTTAAATAGCCCCAGAATTTCAGAGGTTTGCCCTCCAAGTCTGTCATCAATCTCAAAAACGGCATTTGAGATTTTGATTGCTTGTATTGTGTTTAAAAAAAAAAGTCTGTGTGTGGATAAAGTTATGGGGAATTGAGTTGTATATTGAGTTATAGGCCCATTGCAGGCCTGTAATTCAGCAATACATAAATAGTGTAGTTTGGAGCAGATTGGAAAGAAATACTTAGAGTTCTGTGTTAACAGTTTCCCTGTCACTTGATTTTATCTTTTTCTTTTCTCCCAACAAAGTGCCATCCTCTCTTGAATAACTTGGTTGCCAGATCTTTTATAATGCTCTTCTCTGAACAAATACACCTTATCCCCTTGCTGTTCCTGTATGCTGCTGCTGGTAACAGATTCTCTTTTCCATTCCATTCTTAATTGCATAGAACAGCATAGTTTTCACATAAGAGTGATTTATTCCAAGAAATTCAACTACCAGTGAGTGCAAAGGGTGTCCATGAGCATCCTGGTTTGTGAAGGGTGTTACAGGTGAGATGATGCTCTGCAGGGTGTGAATCACTGTCTGTGAGGCTTCCCTGGGATGCTCAGGCTGCTCTGTGGCACATTCAGTATCATCAGGAGCCAGTCCAAGGTCCTGTTAAAGCACTGAGAATTTCAGCCATGGAGAATTATCAAATAAAGCATATTTTGGTAATAAAAAATCCGGAATAAGGGGCTGATACCTCAGTTAGAACAGTTAAATGTTTTCAAGGGACTTCTTCTGCACCCAGCTTGATTGCTGTGGATGTTAGAGGATGCTGCTTGAGGGTCAGTACAGTTATGTGTGTATGCAAATGTAAACACAGCTCTGGCTGGCAGGGCAGGTTTGTACAGCAGCAGGGCTGCTGGGGGAGTGTGGGCAGGCTCTAATGTGACCAGTGGGCTGTAATGGGAAGTGGAATTTTCCTCTCTGCCGGCCAGAGCTGAAAGCTCTGCTGTCCCCAGGAACTGAATGGTGAACTGCTGAATGGCAGTTCATGTACCAGCTCTCTTAGCTAACTGTTGATCATTCCTCCTTTATTAGGAAACCCCTCATGCATGACTGCACGGTCTGGTACTATTGTATGGTGGCTGGGAATACGAGGGGAAAGAAGGGACAGCCCCTGATTTTGCTCAGGATATGTTCTTAATAAATTCTGCTCTTGTTTTTTTTTTCAGACTTTGGCGTTAGCGCGTTCCTGGCCACTGGTGGTGATATTACCAGGAATAAAGTCAGGAAAACCTTTGTGGGCACACCTTGCTGGATGGCACCAGAAGTTATGGAACAGGTGAATTATTTTTCCTAGTGTCCTCTGAGCTGATCTGCACCTGGAATTCCCTGCTATCAGCAATGACTATTTATTTCTAACTAAAATGATAATTTGACATCCTGAAGGGTTTTCTTAAAACCACAGGATTTTCTTTGACTTGCCTATTGCAGGCAGACTCACACTGCAGAATGTTAAGTGTTCAGTAGATCTTTGCCCCATTGCTTCTCTTTGGGCTTCTGCCTAAGGTGAGGATGAGACAGCTCAGTTGTTGCATAAAGAAGATTAATCTGCCCCTCCCTTTTGCATGAATGTGAGGTAGAATATAAATAGTTTCACACGTGGTAAAAACGCACATGCACAGCTCAGTAACGTGCTCTTCTGCATCTGCAAACAAGAATTTGAGGTAGTTGTGACATGTCAGAGTGGGGAATTTATTCAGTATAAAAATATGCATTTGACTTCATTCAGGTTTTTAACTTTTCTTGGCTTGTGAATATCTAAATGCTGAGGAATGTGTGCATCTCCCCCTTCTTCCTCTGCTCTTTTGCTGACTAAGAGATGTCATTATTTTTCCCCTTGCATAGAGAAATGTCACTTTTTGTCCTCCACTGCTTCTAAACTAAACTGCAGAAGCTTTGTCTGTGTGACTTCTGATGAAGGACACCTGGAAACTTTGTTTAATGTAAAATTGCTGCCCATTTCAGAGCAAGATTCACAGAGCAAATTACACCATAATCTTACCAAGGCATTTGCAGTAGCTGTCAGTGGCATTGATGTTCAGTGCCGTGAACATTCCAAAAATTATCCCTCATCCCCTTAAAATCAGTTTGACAGAGGCCTGGGTTTCTGACAGGTGTACTAAGCAGAAATGTAACTGGCTATTAATGGGTTTCCATTTTTCTTTCAATTTTTTTTAAACAAAAATATTTAAGGATTTTTTTTATTAAAGTAAATCCATCCTGATGGATTTCTACTTGCTGTTGTTCCCAATACAATATTTTTAAGCTTGGGAAGATCTTGAATAAGACCCCCATGTATATCTGTATCTAACATCAAATGCAGCTAAACACAAGTGCATTAAAGTGTTTTTTTTCCCAATATCTAAAACTCCCTGAGGAATGGAGATAATTTTGGAGTAGCTTAGATATATTATTGATGAAGGCTTGTTCAATGCTTGGCCTTTTCAGTGGCTCACCATGGTGGCTCCGAGGGGCCGGTGCATTCCAGCACTGCTGCAGCCTCCTCAGAGTCCTGCTCTAACAGGGAAGAATAAAGCCACAAGTCAGGGCTGTCTTTGCAGACTTGGTTCTGAACTGCTTCATTGTCATATTCTTCTGGATTTTTTTATTTAATGCTAAGTTAAAATAAATAAAAATAGAGTGTTTGGTGTTTATGAAGCTATATCAGCACTGTCCCTTGATTTTCTGTCCTGTCTGTCATGCCCAGGGCATGATCAGGCAGCCTGGTCAGGACCTGATGGTGCTGCTCCAAGTTCTTTGCAGTCCTCAGGACAAAAGGGAAAAATACCTTAAGGAAGGAGCTAAAACTGGGAAATAAAGGTTTCAGTGACAAAGTGAGGGGTGGTTCCCCACAAATACGTTTCCAAAGCAGGTAAGTTTTTATGGAGTGAAGTACCTCCACCAAGGCTGTGCACGTCTAATCAGCTGAAAATATCATGCTAAAACAGTATCTGGGATGCTCATGATGCTGATGTGAAATCCTTCAATGTCCATTAGATGATCTTGCTGCCTTCCAGCAGGTGTCACTCTGAGCCCTCAATCCAACCGGGAGCAAGGACAGAGCCCTTCCTCTAGGTTGGCCTTTCACATGTAAATATTACCGACCCAATTCCATCTGGTTTACTTCAGCACCATTAAATTCCTTCAGAATGTTAATATTTGATTGCTCACATTGTCTTTTAATGTATGGTCACTTGGCAGATTTATAGCAAAAAAAGAAATTATGAGAAAAATAAATGTTGATATAAACTAACTGCAGGGTGGTGACTCATGTATTGGACAGATGTCAAGATGAACTGCTGCAGACAGTTTTGAGCTTTATAGCTTTCTCATGCAAGTAGGATTATGTGAAATGAAATGAAAAAGTCCTTGCACTAAGCAATTAAAATCTTGTCAG